CATTAAAATAAAATACATCCAAAGGCAGAAGTGGGAAGAGACAGACAGATGTGGAAAATAGAGTCCACTGTAAAACAGACTCCAATTTTTGACTAAAACTCTCATAACAGAAAATTCCAAATGTCAATATGATTTGGTATTTTGCAATCCACCCAAATTCAGTAACTTAATTGTGTATTTAGACTGTTCTATCTTTCATTAAAAATAAAAAGAAACCCTGCTTGTACACATTAAACACAATGCTAGGCTCAAACAACACGTTGTGGTAAGATAATTGGGTACCTTTTCTTGCTTGCCTATCCAATAAACCAACTGGCTTCTCTAACCAAGAAATGTTCACATTGGCTTTCCTCATCAGTGTTTGTGAAAACGTATTGTTTGCAATCCTACAGCTAATTAGCACATTAAATTCTACTAATTTGAGGCAGGTAAAAGTAAAGCTTTCCCGTTGATGTTAAATCCAGTCATGTCTGACTCTAGGGGGCGGTGCTCATCTCCATTTCCTAGCCAAGGGAGCCAGCGTTTGTCCGCAGACAGTCTCCGTGGTCATGTGGCTGGCATGACTAAACACCAAAGTGCACGGAATGCTGTTACCTGCCCACTGAAGTGGTACCTTTTTATCTACTTGCATTTGCATGCTTTCGAACTGCAAGGTTGGCAGGAACTGGGACGGAGCAACAGGAACTCACCCCGTTGTGCAGATTCGAACCGGCGTTCTTTCGGTCAACCAGCCCAGCAGCACAGCGGTTTAAACCACTGCGCCACCTGCATCCCCTATTTGAGGTATCAAACTGCAAATCTCCATTAAATCTTAATATACTACTTCATACGGAATCCTTAATTCCAAAAAAAGATATTATTTTATCAGCATATAATTTATCAGCAACAAAAAGAAGGTGATCCTCCCTTCTGACATTTTACTGATTTATCTCAAAAGTAAGATCCTCGTCTTCTCCATTTGTCATTATATGGCAAATGGGTATGCATACTTTCTTGGCAACTGTGCTGGGTTTGGAGGCCTGTTTCATACATAATGACAATGCACAGTACAAGCTGAGTACAGCTGCTGTTGAACTGTGGGTTATTACATGAGAACCAGGCACTATGTTTTAACAAAGGGTTCTTAACCACAAACCTCTCAGCATTCACAGCTCAGCAACAAACCATGGGTTTTCTTCCTGCATTGTTCATAGTTAGCCCTGCAAAGTGCAAGGGTTCACACATAGTGACAATCCATCAATAAACATCAACCCATAATTCAGTATCAATCCATATTCAATCCATATTTTGGATTGTCATTGTATGCAAACCTGGCCAACTGGAGATGCTACTAAGATCATCTCTTGCATACTAACATCAATTGGACTGAAACTTCAGCAGCTTTTGAAAGAGAAGCTACTTACTGAATTTACCCGTATGTTTCTATATGATACAGTTTTGCTTTTGCAAACATGCACTTCCAAGTCTGCCAAACATGCTGCACATTCTTCAGCTGGAAAAAAGATGGATTATCCTGTAGAAATGGCCACAAGAGAGTCAAGATAAGCCTAGCTGTTTATGCGAGAGTCTAATTTATTTTGCTCAAAGTTAACAATGCAAGACAGAAGTGCCTATAACGCTCAACATATCCCGGATAGTTCTTTACCCTTTGGGATGTTGCAAGCATTCGGAACATAAGAACTTTTCCTGACTAGCACTAGGGATCATACAACCGCTGAATGGACATTTTAGCCACAGCAGTAAAACAACAACACCTATCTCACCCAGCACTTCACTATGTACCACCTACCCCAGGAGGATCCAAACAGAATACAGTACTTCAATTGTTGCACATACAATTTTATGCGTAGCAATAGAGAAGTCTAAAGTTTACATTTGTTACACTGGTAATCTGAATTCTGCTCATTAACATGTTTTATAATAATCTTGCTTTTAGATGGTCTGTAGCAGGGGATACACATTGTTTTTAAAAGTAGCAGGCAAAAGAAGATTGCTTGAGGGGGAAAAGCAAATTTAACCAACCATTATCCTGATCAAGATCATGGTAGGTAGCTCTCCACAACCCACCCTTCTCCCAACTTGGTGCCTTCCAAATGCTTTGGGTTACAACTCCCAGAATTTCCAAGCATGCACCATGTATTTTGGTCCAAAATATCTGCAGGGCACCATTTCAGGGAGACATGCTCTAGACTCAACTCTAGATCTAGGTCTTCCCATACATCATAGGCAACATGCTAGAAAGGTATATTAGATGTTCTACTCTAACACAGGCTTGAAGCACTTCCTTCGTTTGCAATATGTTTTCACAGATCTCAGTCAAGTCCTTCCAGCCTTCAGGAAATGAGCAGGAGATGCCCGTCCAGCTCTCCCAATCACAACATTTAGAGCTAAGGGTTACTCCAAACGCAGAAATTAAACAATAAAATAAATAGCAAAGAATTTTTCCAGTGAACAGCTACAAATGCACTGCTCATCCTGACATTAATGTTAAGTCATGCCACAGCCCCCCAGTTCTATGCTTATGAACAGAAGTATAGGACAGGAGTCCTCAAACTTTTTAAACAGGGGGCCAATTCACTGTCCCTCAGACTGTTGGGGAGCTGGACTATAGTCTGAAAAAAATATGAACAAATTCCTATGCACACTGCACATTAAAAATTAATTAAAATTAAAATTAATTAAAATTAATTATTTTTTAAAATTAAAAAATGTTTGCTCTGCTCACTTGAGCTGCAGAAGCCCAAGAAGAGGTGAGGAAGAGCATGTCCATATTCAAGGGGCATAGCTACAATATGTCTGCAATAGTGCTGGGGTGTGGGGGAAGATGGGCACGATCGTGCTTGTGCAGGGAAGGCAGGCGCAATCACGGCCCTCTCCCCGCACAACACGACCGCGATTGTGCCTGTCATCCCTGCACAAGTGCGACTGTGGCCATCTCCCCCCCACCAACCAGCATGATCGTGCAGGAAAGACGGGTGCAATTGCGGCCCTCTCCCCCACCCCCCGAGCACGATCACAGTCATCTTGCCCGCCAGCATGACCATGATCATGCCCGTCTTCCCTGCACAATTGCGACCGCGATCACGGCCATCTCCCCACTGAGTATTCCTGCATCGGCTCAGAGCTTTTGGACTTGCTCAGAGATCATTTTCTCCGAGTGAGTCCAAAGGTCTGAGGCGGGCCTGATAAATCAGCATGGTGGGCCGCAACCAGCCTGTGGGCCGTAGTTTGAGGACCCATGGTATAGAACAATGCATTTTTTCTAAATTAAGCAAGCTATACTGCCAAGGGAAAAATAGATGGCATAAATAAAAAGATATTGCTATTCATTCATACTCACATTCTCAGTCACAAAAAGCCACTACTGCACCACATGCACAGCACAGCTGCTGCTGCAAGAAGCACATCACAGAAGCTGGTTCACACACACTAGTGCAGCATAATGGCTATGAGACAGAATGGGAACACCCCATTCTTAATTAACAACGCATTCCTAAGGAAATCATTATCTTTCCCTTTCAGGTCAATCAAAAGCAATATGAGAATACTGATCTATCTTAGTGCATTGTAATGATTACTAAAATAACACAGATGAAGCATTTGAACATTTTAAAGGGTTATCTAAATGCTAATATTATTATTACCTGCACTAGCTAGTGCTTTCCGATAACTGCTTGTGTAGATGGCAGAACTCATGCATCAGAGACTGTACTTGTAGAAGGGCAAAACACATAGTTAAACTATGGCATTCACTTCCACCAGATGTCATGAACTCCACAGTTTGCACCACTTTAAAAGGGGAGATTGGACAAAATCATGGAGAAGAAAACTATCAATGGCTCTCGTCCTGATGGCTACATGCTATTTCCAATATCAGAGACAGCATGCCTTTGTACACCAGCTGCTGGGGAACATGGCTGGAAAGGTGCCGTTGCACTCATGTCCTTTTGGGTGTTTCCTGCAGGCCACTGTGTGAACAGAATGGTGGATTTGGTCTTCTTATATAACTATCATAGCAGATTCTTCCAATGAACACATGTGCTAGAAACAGGAAATTACTTTCAAATGAAGTCGCTACTGCATTCTTTCGTGTGTGGCTCCTCAAACAAGACATTGTTCATGTATGTCTGATATTAGAAAAAGCTAAGCCAAGACCACTTATATGAGTAATTATTTGCACGTATCAGCCAGCTCAGATAATGTACGAACTGATTTCAATAAATCTGAAGACTGCATGGACTAACATACACTATACAACAAATTCTACTGAAACAAGCAGGTTCTGTGCACAGGCTTCACAATGTTAATCAGACATAAGCACACAACTTTTCCCGGATGAATTCCATGTCTTCCCAAATATGGCAGTGTTTCTGTATTCTCCTATATAATGTGAAGGCAGAGGGAGTTCAACATGTGAAGTATATTATAAGCAATTTCAATGTTCTATAGGAATATTTCTTCTGCATCCTTTTGCTAAAATATAAGCAAGGATATGGAAGGTCTGTTCAAAAACCTGAAGGCCAAGATACTACTTGAAGATGAGAAACGTTTTTAAAGAACTGCCTTTTAAGTATATTCAGCCTGATGCAATGGTACACAAATCAAAGCATTAGAGAAGCAGCCTATGTTTCGCCTCTAGACTAAACTTGAACCCATCATACCTCTGAGCCCCAAAATTGGCAGGCACTGGCCCCGGAGGTGTGTGACACCAACACACAAATGGAAGGAAGTTAGAAAGACCTTTTGCAAAATGAATGCATGTTCCCCCCACAAGAAAATAGCTAGCACTGTTATCCTATATTTACTCAAAAGTATTCATGCAGTGTTCAACTGGGCTTGCTCTCTCAACTAAGTGTGCACAGGATTACAGTCTAAAAACACAAGCTACACGTTCCTGGTTTAAAGCAAGACAGTGTTTCTAAACATACACTACATGAATATGGGGATATTAATAATAAAAGCTTATTTTATATATCACTAAGAATGGATCAGAAGCATTCTAAACTCTCAAATAGTGCTTTATTGCCTAGTATTGTTGTTAGGTCAAAATTCCAAAAGGACAAAATCTACTATTCTCTGACCACATCTGATATTAGAAACAGGTAAGCCAAGCAAAGTTGTTCAACCATGCTTCTAGTATTTGCAACAGACTAGACCAGGTGAAGACTCTGTGGTCCTCCAAATTTTAGATGTACAACTCCCATCCCTCATCACCAGCTAAGGTGGCTGCAACTGATAGGAGCTGTGGATTTCCAGAAGTTTTGGCCTACAAGTTGTGCACTTCTGGTCTACAGATTATTATGCTACCCTTATATTACTAGCACACTAACTGCAGTAGTAGAACTGCAGAAACTGTAGCCCTCCATTTGAAAGATTCACTTACTAAACAGTTTATTAATCAAGTTTATTAATCTTCCCCAGTCAAAGGAGAACAGCTAATATTCACATTCTAACTGTATGTCCATGCAAAACATTCAAGAGCTCAATCTCCAGACATGCTCCATTAGGATGGATTACATCAACAACTATGGTAAAATGGTAGTGGAAAAGATGATGCTACACTTCCATCTTTCACAGAAAAATGGGTTGCTCCAATATCACTGCTACTTAAGAGCAGACTCATTTAGTGAAAGGGATTTATGTTAGACTAACATGAAGCACAACCCGCTGGATACAACCTGTAAGAGTTAAGATATGTTGACCAAGTTTATTGATGGATTTGAGTGTGGTTTTCTTCTCCTTTTTGCCACAAATGCTTCTTTCCCTTGTAGCTTCTCAAATTCCTTGGCTAGCCTCTTCACAGTACTGACTGCTATCATTTTTTTTAAAAGCAACCATCTGCCACCGGACATGAAGACAACTAACCAGAAGTTATAATAATCATTGGTGGGGGGCAAGGAATTACATCTTCCTGTATAACCTCCCCCTTCAAAAGTGTTTCATACAAAACTATTTGTGTATGAAAATTAAAAGTAGATTTTGCATGTTTGTTTCATAGCATATTATAACTAGGGTTTAATAATTAGACTATATTTTGAAAGCAGATTTCCTCCATCCAAACAGGTAACCCTGCAGGGCTAGCCTTACTACAGAATCAGCAAAATTTTTAGGGGAGTCACTACAGCAGAAACTGATCTGAGACCCATTGCCATTTCCAAGGACATCTCTGAAGCATGCCTCTCAGCTTACAAGGACCACGTTGTCTGGCCACTTAAGGAAGCAAAACATCCTGGGTCTCCCCTGCAACTAACATGCCAAGTGACTATTCTAAAGGCACAACCTTTGCACATTTAGACAAAAAAAAGTCCTACAACTCCCAGCATGCCCCAGCAGGCTAACTGGGAGCTGCATATTTAAAATGGCAGTTGGCACACACTGTGGCTCATCAGGGGTTAAATAACCATTGATGGGCTGTCATGTCATGTCATGTCTTGTAAGCAAAAATACACCGCTGTTCCTGCCTCCAAGAATGGCACATGCAAATAAATGCCACATACATTCATTTGCATGCCACATGCACACACAGTCAGGAACGGGCAGTGCTGTATATTCCCAGTGCAAGTCACATTGAAATTTATTTTGTCCAATGTGCATTTGTCCAATTTCTATGTCAGTTTGTAATTTTTAAGATCCACACCATAATTTGCAAGTAAATACATTAAAGTCCAAGGGCTAACTTTAAAGAATTCAAGTCATACACGGGTAATAGCCGCTTCAAGCAGCCAAAAAGCCTGGTGGACAGTCACAACTACATTTAAAAGGGTACATTATGGTGTGCCATCCCACAAAGAGATAACTGTACAGAAAAAAAAAACATCCATACACTCTCCCTGGGAGAGAGAGCACATCTTCACATTCCACCACTTTCAGTGCACTTGCAAGTTCACTTTGAACATGCAGTGGCTTCATAAAGGCAGTCAGGCATTCTAGATGCTTGGAGCAGCTAATACTTGTAAAAAAATATTAAGACCTTCAAACTTCAAGACAGCCTTGGACTACTTTGGAACTCTGTTTAAGTATCTGAAGACAAGACTGCAAAAGGTCAGGTAAGTGAGAAATCTGATGTACAACTTTTTTCTGATCCACACATTTGCCTAAGAGGTGTAGTTTACTCCAAAAGATGGAGCAATCAAATTCCTTGAGCATCCCTATATACAGTGCAATACTATACCAAATATATACTCAGAAATAAGCCTCATTCCTTTTTATGGGGTTTACTTCCAGATAAATGCACACAGATTTATAGCTCTAGTCTGTAATGGGGCTTACTTCTGAATTATAATGCCTACAGCTGGGCTGATCATTGCCACTTCAAGAACTGCCACTATCTCCATTCCCATTTGTAGCCATCAGCCTCCATGAAAAGGCCCTTTTACAAAGGTTCTGTGAAGGAGAAACCAATGGTGGGTGACAGTACCACATAACAGAATGACCCCAAGCCCCCATAGCCCTGGGATAGCATATCTAATCTAGGGTAGCTATTGCCTCAGTACATTGATTAACAGGATCAAGCCATTAGCTTGTCCCAACAGTTGTCAGTCACATGGTATGTTTGTTGCTATAACACACACATTCAGTTTCAGTAGTTCTAAGAATATGTCAAATGCCTGCTTATGTCAACATAAATCCACACAACTTCTTCAACATACACAAAATATGATAAATGTCAGGCGATTGTCTACAAATCATATCAAAAAACAAATCTGTCAAAGTGAACTGCCTACAGGCATAAGTTACATCCTTTATCAAATGTATGGGCTTGTTTGCCAACACCAGTCACTTGCAATCTGTGCACACACTCACAAACATGGTGGCATACTAATAATTCTTTGAATTACAATTGATATATAGTCTTATGTAAGTATCCAAGATGTTCAGGTTTATCTTGAGTTGTTGCACAAGGTTTAATCCATAGCTCCTCTCTATGCACCTTCTCACAACAACAGCTCCTTTGCTGTAAAAAAAACAAAGCTAAAAGATGCAGTTTGAGCCAACATCGAGATATTACAACATATCTATTTTCAGCAAAAGCAAGCTGAAAACTAGGTAATTATGATTGTTGGTACAACTGCTGCATTTCAAGATGCAGAGAGTTGTTTTGCTTTTTAACATAACAGTCTCAGAAACTGGTGAACAGATGTAAGTGTGCACTCACTTCCATGTTTTAAACAGCACTGCAGCAAATGAGTAATGGGATAGCAAGGGGAAAAAGCCCACCAGTCATGGACATGGCACTTTTTATTTTAAGATTACAATTGATCCTCACAGGTTAAGAGAGCCATCCAAGTCTAGAGGGAGCCAAATCAACACAGCAGCAGTTACCTGTGGATGCTTAGGCCCTGCGATCCTTATGCATGGCTCTATCCAATCTAACAATCCACATGGCTGCCACACTCCAGCTGTTCTTGCCAAAAGAAAGCTTAAAAGCAGAGCCAAGGAAAGAAAGACAGAGATGCCCAAGTAGGTGTTTTCAGCCCCCTGCCCCTTACCTTCTTTATTAAGCCTCATCACCTCCCTGCTTTTTCCACCCTCTTTTCCAGTCTCTTCTAGCTCTACACCTGCAGAAGAGAAGCAAAGTCAGAGAAAACCAAGGCAGCGATTGCATGTGCACGTCTGTACTGATGAAAGCATGAAGGCAGTTAAGGAGTATTCTGGTTAGCCAGCCGCAGCAGCAGCAAAAAATAAAATGCAACCATCACTGCATCTGCCAGGGAACAGCATACCCAGACAGACTTCCCCCAGGCAACAGCATCCTCCATGCCTCCCCACCCCACACCCAGTCCTCATGCAACAGCATCCTCTCATGGTCCTAGTCTCATTTACGAAATTATCATGTCTCATTCTCCATCCAGTCTCGCCCCTACCCCAATAACACGGCATCCTTCTGCCCCTCCCCCCTGACAGCCAGTCAGCCTTTCTCCCCTCATGCAGCTGGCCCAGTCAGAGGTGTCTAGAACTGTTGCAAGCAGCCCCAGCTGGACACGGCTCAACCCACACACAGGGAGGGCGATGAGTAGATCAGTTTGTCTCCATGCAACTGGAGAGGGGGCTGAGGAAGGGAGCAAGCCCCAATGCAATGGGTTGGGGGGGCGTGAATAGAGGCAGAGCATGCAAGCTGCCTCTCCCCCCCACCCGCCCCCCTCGGATGCATCGCATGTTTAGGCAAAAGGGAGCAGCGTCCCTCTTGGCCGGTCCTTGTGTCTAGCGGGTGCCCTTACTGTGCAGGGGGGCGGCGCAGTGCGTGTGCGGAAGGGCGGCCTCCCGGACCCAGGCGGCCCAGGGCTGGCCCAGGAACGCCTCGGGACTGGGCACGGGCCGCTCCAGGGCCGCCATGGCGCCGCCGCCGCCGCTCCTCCTCCTGCTGTTGCTGCTGCTCTCCTCCTCCTTCGCCGCCGTCTTCTCCTCGCCGCTCCTGTTCTTGCCGCCGCCGCTCCTCTTGCCTTCTTGCTGCTTTTCCCGTTTCCTTCGGCACCAACGAGCGAGGAGCCAGCGAGCGAGACACGGGATTCGAGAACGCCGCACGTCATCCTCGGGACGTTCCGCCGCCCACACGGGGGTAGTGTCAGCCCCTGCTCCCTATCAGATCGGGCTCCCCGGCTCCCGATGCGCAGGCGCGCTGGGGAGAGGCGAAGCCGGTGCCCTTAAACGTTCGCTTCCCTTAAGAAGGGAAAGGGGGACCGCGGGGAGGGCGTGAATTGAACTAAGCAGAGGAGGAGAGGAGAGGAGACAAAAACGCGAGAGGGAGAAAGAGCCGCCAGGCTTGCTCTGTGGCAGGGGCCGACGGCCAGGTGAGAAGGAGCGGGAGCCGACGTGGGCTGGGATACCCCGCCGCAGGTGGCTCGTGGCGCTGTGCTGAGAGACAAAGCTGATGACAGGCGCGCTCGGCGGCGCAAAGTCTGTATTTTTCGGTGACTGGTTGGTGCGCGCAGGGGTTATGTACGGATGGCACTCCTCCCTTTGCCTCAGCTTCTGGTCCATAGAAACATCCAGCGCTCGCTCGCTCGGTCTCGTGCACACACATATATACACAACACGCACACTCTTTGGTGTCTGTCCATAATATATGTGGAAAAAGAGACGCGAGGAATGCGCCATTCCACTTCACACCACCTAGTAGGTGGGGAAAACAAGGAGACACCTGTGAAAACAGCGCGCGCGGAGGAGGGGAGGGTGGAGAAGGAAAGTTTTCCTCAGGCAGCGTGTCATCCCACATTGCAAATCACTGCGGTTGTAGCTAGTGCCGGGATGTGTGCAGGTGGACAAAATGGAGAAGGCTGGCGGGCAGAGGTTCCTTCTTTCGAAAGAGTGCCGCTCCGGAAGGGCTACAGCGGAGAGATCAGAGCTGCCCCGATTTAGAGCAGCCTCCCCCACCCTGCCGTCGTCCAGATGTGTTGGACTACAAATCCCAGCATCCCCCAGCCACCTGGAGGTTGTGGTTCGTTACATCTGGAGGACACCAGATTGGGGAAGACTGATGTAAGAATTTTCCCACTGGTACGCAGGGTTGTCATGCTGGGGCGAAGGAGAACCGGGGCGCTTTGCTCCATGTTCCTTCAAGGCAAGGAGATATCTGCCTCCGTGAACCTTGGGCTCACTTTACTTGTGGGTCCTTGTAAGAGGCGGCAGCAGGGTTCCTAATATCACATCTGTCCCAGGGCCCATAAAGCATTCCTGTCGGTATGCTTTTAAAAATGAAAATGTTGACCGAGTAAGGGCCAGGGTGGTTATAATTGCCCACTCCAATTATCAACATACCCAACAGGCAGCATGAGTAGGATGCCAAGAGGAGCTTCCTATTTTGATCTGGAGCAGAGAGGGCAGACAAGCAGTGACAAGAGGTAACAGTAGTAGCAGCAATAACAGGTTTTACAAAGATAGGCAGAGTAGGTGGTATCTTTCACCAAATGGGGAGAGGAATACACATGTGACGGCCAGGGTGTTACATTGCTGTACTGCCCTCAAAGATCTCATCTAAATTGAGAACTGGCCTTTCATTTCCAAGTCCTATAGTTTTTCTTCTCCCTTACATCACAGTCACCATGTTGGTCCAAACATTACAAGGATTTCCAGTGGTACACAAAGCCATGTTATATTTTCATTACCTTCTTTTCACAGCTAACATCAAGTTTAGACATTTTTCTCCCAAAGCAAATACGCACACACTATATAGAAATATCCTTTTTAAGTGAAACTTGGAGATGGAAGTTAGAGGCAGGATCCCAGGCCACCAACCTACTGTTGCTTCATGGTAAAGCTGAGGAAGGGAATGATGCTCAGGATGAGTATCTTTCATCTTCCTTTCCATTTTGCATGCTGTCACATAAAAATAAATAAATAAATAAATAAATTCCAAATCAACTTACAAAAATTAGGAAAAGTGCTAATATGAAGCACAATTTTTCAAAAAAAACAATCCATATTTAGAACATTAAAATGCACACATTTAAATAAATATTCAGACCAGCCAGATAAAAATTAAAAAACTTATAACTCTGTGCGAAAGAACTTCATCCCTCCTTAGTCAAAATCAACTTAGAACAGCAACTTTTAAGGGCTGACTTGAAAATTAAAAAGGGGCCAGCTCTATAGCTTGAGGAAAGGGAATTCTACAAATGACGGGCCCTATTCTGTACACACACCAATAAGCAGGACCTCTCCAGCTGAAAGTCAGGCATGCTCAGACTATTTCAGACTTTATAGGCCCAAACCAGCATTTTGAATCGCACCTGGAAAGGAATAGGTAGCCACTGTAGTTGGTGTGAATGCAGCGTACTTTAACTAGTTTGTCATTTTCTGAAGGTATCAAAATATCACACTTTCATATGTGTGCTTTCCCACCCCATATGAGTTATGTAGAAGTTATCCATTAAATGTCATCAGTTCAAAATGTAATAAAGCTTTCTTTAGTGTAAACAGCCTGCTCATCTCATGGCAATACCCAAAATAGTCTAATAGAATATAATTTATTTCAATAGGATTTTCAGTTGATTGTTTAAGGACTGCACAGAGGTCAGTCAATTTTTGTTGGTTCTTGTGCTAGAGATAAGAAATGTTTGGCGAGAGTGGTGGATTTTGATCTATCAGTGGCAGAAGAAAAAATTGTGTACTCATGAGTTGGCAACATTATTGGCATGATTATAGTCTAACCTTTGGTACATTTTTCCAATTGCCATAATAGCTGACCAAGCTGCAACCATTTACGTACATGGCAAAACTACTAAACCAGCAGATAAAATGCTTCACGGTTGGCAGCCCTGAGCACTGAAAAAGAAATGTGGTGCCCTTACTTCATTTTCACCTCTGTTATTTACAAATTCAACCAAACACACACACACACACACACACACAGAATGCTCAGTGAATATATAAAAGAATAAAAACACCACCTACAGAATGATGAAAAGATATATAATATGTAAAGACTTTTTTAGTCTGCATTCCTCAGCCCTGTTTGATCCATAAGACGCTGACCTTTACAGATGACAGCAATGAAATGGCCATTTGGTAGCCATGTGTAAGATGTATGGTTTTGTGTGCTTCTTCCTTGCCAGAAGAGGGCCATGAGTTGCTCTGAGATAACTCTCTTGCCTGTGCCCTTTCATTTTACCTGTGTATGTATTCACAGTCATAATAAAGGGCACAAGCAACAAAATTATAGAATAGCCATCTCCACAGCTACTCTAAGTTTTTCCTCCCCTTCTCTTAGGAGAGTAGGCTGTAACATCAGGAAGAGAGACAGTAGTCAAATAATCAGTTTTAAAGTTGTAGAAGAATTAAAAGACCCAGTAGGAAGTTTCATTGTTTTGAAGATAAGGCTCCTGAATGGGAAGACAAATACTTTGGCAATGATATATGCGCCATATGATGCAGAAGAAAAATTTTATGAAAAGTTTTCTTCAATTGATACTGGATTTCCAAGAAGGAGAAGTTTTGATTATTGGTGATATGAATGGAGTTATAGACCCTAACAAAGATAAGTGTAAAAAAGTAAAATAGAGCAAACTTCCTAGAAATGTTTTTAATTATATGGAAATGTTACATTTTGAACATGCATAGAGATTTAAAGATCCTAGAGCTAGAGAGTATAATTGTTTCTGATAAACACCAGACATACTCAAGGACTGAGATATGTTGAATATCTAAAAACTTAATTATGAATCTAGAGGCTGTAAAGATCCAACCCAAGATGCTTTCTGACCACAACCCATTGGAGATAATTTGGCAGGAAGAACAAGCTGGAGGAAGAAGATGGAGATTTTATGAAAACTTTTTGTTAAAAGAAGATATCTTGAAAAAGAAGAAAGAACTGGAAGAATTTTTTAGAAGAATAATACAAGTGATGTCTCTATAGCTACAATATGGGAAGCCAGTAAAGCTTATATAAGAGGACACTTTTTAGCAATAATGCCTAAAAAAGAGAGAGAGAAATCAGAACAAAGATAAAAACTCAGGGAACAAATTCAAATACTAGAGGATTACCATAAAAATTATAAGACAAATCAATCTTAACCGAACTTAGACAATTAAAAACTCAACTAGACATGATAAAGACAGAGATACAAAAGAAATTGAAATTTTTAAACCAAAACCCTTTGAACATGCAAATAAACCTGGAAGTTATTTAGCATATTGTCTTAAGAAATGGAAAGAAGAGTGAAAAAAGACAATGGAATAGCATATGTTGAAAAGGAAATCCATGACCAATTTACTAGGTTTTTTTCAAATTTATATTTAAAAAATACTGAGTAGTATATAAATACAGTAGTATATAAATGGAGTAGTATATAAAAAGTAGTATATAAAAGAAACATGTCTTGAGAAATTCACCCTGAGGAGAGGAATATACTGATAGTACTATTCAAGAACTATCACAAGTTATTAGAAAATGTATAAAAGATAAAACACCTTGTCCTGATGGATTTACTGTTATGTACTACAAGTACTTATAGGAAAAATTAATATTACTATTTCAACATGTAATGAATGAAATTAAAGAAGAGAAACTAGTACCACCTACATGGCAGGAAGTTCATAATACTGATATTGTGGGAAGGTAATGAGCCCATAGTACCACATTCTTACTGACCTATTCCATGATTAAATGTGGATTACAAACTTTTTACTTCAATAATGGCAGAGAGACTAAGAAAATGTATAGAAAAACAGATTCATACAGACAATACTGGATTTGTCCCAAAAAGGTTTATGAAAGATAACATTAATTTTGTGATTGATGTAATTGAATTGATCAAGAAGAAGGCGAAGATGATGACAAAGCAGCAGTGGCAGCGGCAGCAAGCTGCATGTGTCTTTTTAGATTCAGGGAAAGCTTTTGATAATGTGTCTTGGCCCTCTTAATGAAAACTCTCCAATACTTAGACTGTTGCTCAAGCTTTATGAATTGGATTCGAACAATTTATAATAAACAACATGCTAAGATTTTAATTAATGGCATATTAACTGAGAATTTTCAAATGGAGAAGGGAACACTCCAAAGATTCCCTTTATCATCTCTTTATTCTTGTACTGGAACTTTTAGCAAAAAAGATAAGACCAAAAATTAAAGGTTTAAAAGCAGATGGAGAAGAATATAAAATAAAATGCTATGCTGTTGATAGTCTTGACTATTCTAAACCCACATCAGTCTATTCAGCATACTGTAAATTGAAAAATTTGGACTTTATTAGGTTATAAAATTAATAAGAAAAAATATACTAAAATTTGCAACAAAATGGGGAGAGGAAACTATAAGAAAGATTTCAGGATGCAAAATAACTTCAAACCTGATTAAATATTTAGGGATAAATATAACGGGGCATAATGATACAATATGGCAACAACTAAAAGATGAAGGAAAAAATATACAATTGTTTATTACCAATTGGTTTAAGATTGAAAGGAGAAATACAATCAGGGAAAGGCATTGTAAGAGATTTGACAGATTTTGAAAAGTTGATTACACAACAAAATTTATTAGACTTTACAAACAGTTACTACAGCATGACACTGAAAATCAAGAAGACAAGAAATGTATGACAATTTGGAAGCAAAACCTGGGAGAAGAAATATCACCTTGTCAATGGGAAGCTTTATGGAAAAAAGACATTAAATTCACAGATGTTTTATTGGTGGTATATTACTCCAAAAGATACAGAAAAAAATAGATAAGAACTATAATGGAAAATGTTGAAAATGTAACAGGGTGGATGGGACTTTCTACCATATGTGGTGGACTTGTGAAACAAAAGAGTTTGGAAACCGATACAAAAAAGCTTTAACTAAGTTTCCTATGAGTCCTAAGAATACGCTTTGAGTATAATGCCAGAGACTTTTTAATATATGACAACTGCAGCAAGAATTACAATTGCCTGTAAATGGAAAAGACCAGAATCCTCAGCAATTGCAGATTGGAAAAATAAGTTGGCAAAGTATGCAATTATGGCAAAACTAACTAATTATGTAAAAAGAAGACCGATTGAAGAATTTAATGACAAATGGAAATTCTATAATAGTACAATTAATAGTATGTAAAAGAAAGCTCTTTAAAAAGTAGTTGATGATTTATTTGAAGCAATTGGAAAATGTGTTGGTATACAGAATAATAATCCCTTTTTTCTGAACTTCCATAGAGTACTAAATGATAGAAAGATATATTTTCGTTCTCTTTGAAGTTTGTGGGCTTGAATGTATTGGTTATACTTCAAAATCTCTTAGCAATTTTATTTTACTACATATCTGCACACCCATAACCACACCTTTCTCTTTTCTGTATTCCGTTCATGTCAAGAAAACAACAAAAACATTTAAAAAGAGAGATTGAATAGTTGATTGACAAAATTCACCTGCTTATTGTGGCATAAAGTACTATAAATTGAACAGATGCATGAAGCACATCTACTTCATGAGGCTAGTATGAATTGGGTGAAATCTATTAATACTTACACTGCCTGATAACCAGTAAGATTCGCATCTTTGTTTTCAGTGAATGGCTCATGTCACCTGTATCCCACAGCTGTGGCAACTGAAAGTTCATAATTTAAGCCCATGGTTAGAGTTGCTATTGGGCCTCAGTCAGCACTGTGTACCTCTGTGGGCAAGTTTTACAAGGACATTTGATGACCTCTATGACATCAAATCACCTCATCTAATGGCAGACTGAGGATTAGAGTCAAACAGCCTAAATCAGGTGTGACTGAAAGAATACTACAGACGCATACAAACATTAAAGCAAATCAACCAATGTCCCCTAAAGAGGTAGCAGAGGCCAGGGACAAAAGAAGAGATAGCAAAAGTAAAGAAGGAGATACCGACAC